CAACTCTTCTGCTGCTCAGCGCCATTACAATCTTGGGCGTTCAATATTTTTAAAACGATCACGCCATTACCATGGCCATCACTACTCACGCCGAAACTCTGGCAGCCTTGCTAATCCTTCAACATCTCGTGGCAAGATTAGTCCTTTACATGAGGAGAGATTATCCTTCAAGTTTACTCAATACAACCCAGAGTCTGGACGCCATGCAGGTTGTGAGCATCTTTTATTGGTTTTCATGCAAAGCATCTGTTTGTTCCATAGCATGTGACAGTGGGAAATGAATTTTTATATCATCAAGATCATTACATGAATGGTAAAACAAGATAATAGGACTGATAGCCAACTTAACATGAAAACAAACTCTTGGCAAAATTAAGGAAGTTGTGTTTTTTCTTTGTTTAGAGAATTAAAGAATTGGATTATTTGAGCTTCAAAAGAAGTGGTGTTAGTTTGACTTCATTGATGTTAGTTTCAGTCTCAGCCTCTTTTGTAGCTTAAATTTAGAAATTTCAATGTCCTCTCCATATGGTTTGCCATGTTGACTTCAGTGTTCCAACTTTTGCAGATGGTAGGGAAAATGCATTTGGCAGGCCAGAAAGGATTAGGTCTAGTTCGCTGGTGATGGATGCAGTATCACCTGACAAGGTGAAGATGATTTGTGGCTTATGTCAGAAGCATTTGAGACGGAAACCTTATTTTCTCGGAAATATGCTGGCTTCTGGTGAATTCTCTGTTGTGGCAGTGCTAGTTTGTGGGCATGTATATCATGCAGATTGTTTGGAAGGAAGAACAAGTCTTGAGGATAGGCGTGACCCGCCATGTCTTCTATGTTCAGGTTCACCATCACAAGTTTGATGCTTTTACTTTCTAGCAGAAAGAAGTGATTGTTCATACAGATGTCGACACATTTATATATATGATACTGAAGTATAGGACATACTTAATTGGGGCATAAATGTAGGCTGTTATGATCTAAGCTGAAGCTTTACGGATTAGTATCTTAACCATGCATTGTATTGCTAAATTAAAGCTAGTTGAAGCCGTGAAGGCTTGAAAATGCTCTGCCCGTACCTTGAACCTTTTTAACTTGGCAGGCACGGAGGAGCAGGATCGGTTTTCTTAAAGGGCCTTTTACTTTGGGTGGAGTTATCTTTAAATTCTTGCTGTTCTCATGTTGGGGTTGTCTTAAAATTTTGCATTATTTTGTTTGCCCTTCCTTCTCAAAATGAGGTTCTGATCACATACTTAGCTTTGGTTTTGTCCAACAAAATTTGTTCCTAGACTGCCTTCATGAACCTAGAATTTAGGACAAAATTGCACTTTGCCATTATAGTTGAGAAACCATAAAAGTACAACTAATATAATGAAATAATATAACTTTTAGGGATGGAAATGAACCGAGGAATATGAATGAATTTTGTTATGTTTGTGAGCTGTTTGTTTAATTAATGAATTTTGAAATATTATTTGTGATTGTTTGTTATATTTAATAAATGAAAATATTATTCATGATTGATTATTAAATTTAATAAATAAATAAAAAAGAAAAGGAAGGAATGAAATAATTTATTAAGGGATTTAAAATAATGTTGAAAAATTAGAACAAGAATAGTATTTTTAACAAAAATTGCATACCTTTTTGTTATAAGAGCACGTGAAGATAAAAAAAAAAATCATCTATAATTATTATAATATAATTAACTAATCATATTTCAGAATTTTGTGAGATTTATGAAAATTTTATATTGAATCACATTTATAAATGGTAGGCTCTTATGTAATTTTGATCTGTGATTGAAGAGTTATTATATTATAATAAAAAAAATTTTCAGGTAAAATATACCCCAAAAAAATCCTGGATTGTTTACTACTAAGACTTTCTTTGTAGATATTAAACAAAAAATAAAATATACCAATCCCAGAATTTTTTAGGTCCAAAATCCATTTTCAATTGGGATGGTTTAAAAAAGGAGGGTTTGTTGATCGATAAAAAGAAGAGACTGGCCTTGGCTAGATAGTCGGTTTGCTGGTAATGTAATGTACGGATCAAAATTCAATCTCTGACATTGTTGAATAAAAAAAATATTGGTATTCGGTAACAAAGAGTGTGTGCAGTATCTGTCTGTCTGTGACTATTGCTTTATCTCATGCAAAGAGTGGCGGATTTCAGGAGTGTAGCACAGTGGCATTGATGAATGAGAACGGCTTAGTAGTAAGGCAACCCAGTTAAATGCTGCTTATTAATCATGGCAGAATCCATAGAAACAGTTAAAACTCGCTACTAGATGTCTTTTAACTCTTCAAAATGGGTTTTAGTAATAATGATAAGATTGGAACAAAGTCTTAACTAATTTAGCCTAATACATTAATGCAACTTTTTTAATAACAAGACACGTCAGTCATGGTGTATGCAAATGCAGATGTCATCGAGATTGCTACTCAAGAGTAAGTGGAAATAATCTTATTGAAGTATCTATCCATAAAAGCTATACAGCGTGATACGTGTGTATCTATAAGGTTTCCTTGCATGTAGCCTTATTATGCCCGACTCCCTTACACCTAGTGCAACAGACTGATCTTCTGATAATTCCCTGGCTTTTGGTTCTTCTTAATTTCTTCTGTTGGCCTAATGGCCGTGAGATGCATGGAGGCATAATCTGCATCTGCTTGTCATTTTCTAAGGGATCCTTTTCATTTCCACTGGGCTGAACAATGGTCGAAGCAGGGTTTATGCTTTCAGAGTATGCTGATCGGAAGCTATCAGCTGTAAAGTATTTTGAACAGTAATCATATACGCTCCTTCTTGTGCAGTTAAAGACGGCAATAGCATGACGGCAAGGAAGCCCAAATGATTCCCACATCGCACAACTGCAGTGTCGTTTATCAATATCCACAACGTTAATGGAATTATCATGAACTTCAAATAGGGTCTCAGATGAGAATAATACTTTGAGGCCACATGCTTTTGCACATTCTTCCTGTACCTTCTCCTGCTTAGATGGAGTAAGTTTTGTGGACCACTTACCTGATTCCATTCGACGACCATTCATTAACTCCATTATTTTACATCTTAGTAATTCTACCTTTGGTATGATGGGAAGTTCTCGTGCTTCCTCTATCCACTTAGCATATGACTCTGCAATGTCAAGTGTTATGTGATTAAAGTGCTCACCCTTGAAAAATGCATTTGCCCAGTATTCAGGCTCATTCTGCATGATCCAATCATAAGCATTTAAAGAAACCCGTTTAATTTGCTCAGTATACATCCTAAACCCATCAAGTCGGACTGCTTTGGCTGCAGCTAAGAAACTTCCAGGCAATGAAGCCCTCCCTTCTCCATGGAATGGACCCTTCAAGTTTTGTATGAAGCTGTCCATCAAGTAGTATATCGAGTAACCATGGTGAGCATTCTCAAATATTTCCAGCACATGCTTCGTTAATCCCTTATCTCTATCAGAGACAAAGGTTATAGAACGAGAAGTTGACACCGCAGATTTCAACTGCTCCAAAAACCAATGCCAACTGTCATCATTCTCAATATCTACTAGAGCAAATGCAACAGGGAAAATCCCATCATCACCATCTAGTGCAGTGGCTGTGAGCAAAATTTCATGGAATTTTGATTTCAAAGGGATGGCCTCAAGGAACAGAAGCGGACGACAACCATTTTGGAAACCACAAATTGTAGCATGAAAGGATAGAAAAAGATGCTGAAATTTTCTATCATCTCCAATGAGAAGCTTCAATATGCTACCAGGATTAGCCTCTTCTATCTTATCACAGTACCAAGGCAACTGACCATACGCCTCTTTGTATGAACCCTGAAGTTGCTGCCGAGCATATTCAATTCCACGCCATACTTGTGTATAGTTCAGCTCAAGCCCAAAATCACGAAGAATGCAATTGGCAATTTCTTTTGGTTTGTGACGTGGGCTATCTCTTAACCTATCCTTTATAATATTCACCAACCAATTTTTTGCCGGAGTAGCAGTCTTCCAAGATTCCCCACCACATGTATGTGATCTATGTAATTTTTTAATCCTAAACACACAGGCAGATGGGACCCAAGATGCGTGAATCCTCCAAGGACAACCTTCTGCTGCACATACGCCACTAGCACGGTTAGTATCATTCTTTCTTAATTTATATGCAAAGCGATGTGCAATGGCATATTTCTGTAAAGCATCACGAAATTCTGCCACACTTTTAAAATCCTGGCCTTCACCAGTAATGCCATTTTTCCATGAGGCAACCAGTTTCCCAGGTGAACCTTCATTAGAGTCACGGGGTGCAAAGTCAAAATCAGCATTATCTATCCAGGGTTCAATAAGTTGCTCTGTGTTATCAGCTAATGCAGTGGGCTTGCGATTCCTGGCATTCTTTTTCTGGGATGTAGTATTTCGCATCTCCTCAAGATTGTCAGCAACAGTCACAATAGTAAGACCATTTGCACCACTTTTCCAGGATGCAGTACGCCTCCGTTTCTTTACAGTATCAGCAGGAGAAGCACTCATATCAATTGTATCTGTGCTATGGGCAGTTGCATCAGCAATGCTAACCTCAAAAAGACCATCACCAATGCTACGGACAGCAGAGCGTTTTGAGGCAATTGCTGCTCTGGTTGGGCTTCGGATTGTTGCGTTGAAAGCTATTACAGAGTCAAAAGTGGTTGCTATAGCAACGGGAACATCCTTCAGGCCAATAGCAGAGGGAGCTACTTTGGAACTAGAAGGATTAGTGGCAGCAGCTCGAGAAACGACAGTGGCAGTCACAGATTCGGCTAGTTTTATGCCACTTTGCCTGCGAGCGATGACTAATCTTAATGCAACTTCACATTTTGCAATTTCCACGATTAACCACTATGCACAACAATACTGATGCACATTCACATTCATCAAAGAAAAAGGACCATTTCAGCTCATTCTCATCTTGCTAGCTGATACAATGACAATGCAATTCCCTATATTGTAATGTGACTAAATATAGCTACAACAACAAAAAATTCTAGAAGATACTAATAATTGCAGGTAGAGAGATATTACCTGTTAGCATGCATGTCAAAAGCTACAGGATCAAAGCCTTCTCTCCCTGTAAGGAAAACATCTGCAGTCACTGAGTCCCCATGAAAATCATACATCCTTTTTAGGTCTTTGTCATTAGACAAGGTAATAAGAGTTCTCCTATTTCTGGGGAGAAAATACTTGATGGACAAAGATTTATAATCCAAGTTACATGTTTCAGCTAATTTGTATTTGAGATCATCAAATACTGTCTCAGGACTGATATCCAAGGCATGTGCCTCTCCTCCAGCATATGACAAGGATCCATCATCTTTTGTCACAAATTTACCACCAGACTGGCAAATCAAGATCAGCTTCCCCCGCACCATTCTAAATCACTTCTGAGAATTAAATGAACAAAAAATTTAAAAATATTTGACATAAACTCAAAAGATAAATTACATGTTTTAACGACAAAACTTTTTTACCAAGCCAAGTTTAAAATCATTACAAATAGTAGATGCCCTACAACCATCATTACATCACTACCATGCACAAGGCAAGTGAAAGATTTGGGAGAAATCCACCCAAACATTACAAGTATAAATAGAAAATTTCAAGTCTCCCTATAAAACAACAGATGCACAAGAGTTGGGAATTCAGCTAAAGTCAAGAATCCAACAATGCTCAATCTTTCTCAACTTAAGTGGAAGACAAAGATTTTAATTGACTGATCATCCAAACATTCCTTAAAGGCTTCACACTACTGAAGCCTCAACATCAGAGCATGACATTGTCTTAAACCATCAAAGCAGGGGGACCCTCTTAATAATTTATCATTGGATGAAAAAACAGCTAAGTGGGTTATCAATCCAAACTTATTTCCAAGATGAAAAAAGCTACCAAAAACCAAATGGGTGAATATCCTCCGTTACTAGTCAGCTAAAAGAACAATTTAATCAAAGTCAACCCGACCTACGGTCATGATCATCCAATCAGTAAAAACCAATCAAAAGCAAGAACCATTAACAAACACCCACCAATCTAAACAAGAAACCAAATTAAATTTTCGACTCATCTTCGAGAATTTCCAGTGCATGCAAAATGATTAAATAAATTAACCTAATTAATGCATGCAAACAAAATAAAATTAAAAAAGACATTAGCATTAAAAAGAGAAAATTATAGGTTTACAGAGAGAGTAAAGGTAATTTACCAGATTGAGAAAGTCGTTGGCTTGGAGAAGGAGGAGGAGAGAAACCCCCAAATTTGGGTTTTTTTTTTTTTTTTTTTTTGAGCAATTAGGAAAAAGAAGAGTGAGTTATCGAAGTAAAGGAAAAGAGTGTGACGGAAAATAAAAAAAAAAATGGAAATTGGGGGTTACGGTTGGAACAAGAATAAATTTGAAGGGGTTGTTTTGGAATTTAAGGAAAATATAATATTACGAAGAAAATTTTTATTTACACGATTTTTTCTCAATTCACCCATTTATTATAAAGATGATTGTTATTTGCACTTTAATATTTATTCAATATATCCCATTACTTTTAACATTTTTATTTTTTATTCATCACATCTCATACATAAAATTAAAATTTATTAAAATATCTAAACATGTTATTTTAATGCAATTCGAAGTTTTCGAAAATAAATTTTCCAAAATTTTTATAAATTTTTAAATATAAATATTCATAAGACTTTAAAAACTTTTAGAAATGAATTTTCAAAAATATTTAAAGGACATTGGACATTCATTTCAAAAAATCAACTTACTTGAATACCATTCTCAAATTTTTATTGCAGTAATTATTTTTTTCAAGTTTACTTTCAATTTTGTTAGTATATAAAATATTATAAATTTGATTGTAATTTAACAACAATATAACTTGTTAATGGGAAGAAGAAGAGTAGAAAATTACTGCTAATCTGGGATGGGAAAAAAAAAAGGGGTGTCAAGAACAAAAATATAATTGAACAATAGATATTTAAATAATTTTATTAAAGGTTAAATTTGTAATAGAATTTTTGGAACATATCACATAGTTAATTGAGTGCAAATAGAACTCCTCTACTATAAAAGTATTTTCACATGAAATTACATAATAAACCTTTAATAAATTATTTTTAATCTTTTCATATCTTTATTTATTATCGGATATACATTTTTTCATAAATAAAAATATATACTGAATATGCATATTCCATAATATTATTATATTATTGGACTGCATATCTTATAACGTTAGGAACTTACCAAAAATGAAAATGACATTTACCGAAAATCCAATAATTAAAATTACTTGTGTCCTTCTCCATCTTCTCTTCATTTTTTCTCCCAACGCCAAGGACCTCATCCACCCGCCATCTCCTCGCGCTTCCCTCCAATCCCTCGATGTATTGACCATCTAAATGCACCCAATTAATTGCTCATTACCCATTTAACTACAGAAAACAGCAATTTCCATGGAAATTGTAAGGTCATATTTATGTTGCTTCCTTCCTTTATTGGGATCAATTCATAAGTCCAATCTAATCGATGCTTCCGTTGCCAAAGATACCTGGAAAGTCAGAAGAGCCCATTGGCTTTCATGGGAGGGGAGTTTGAATTGAATAAAACAGGGAATTTACAAATGTAATATGATTAATGAGATTGACTGCTGAAGAGGAAAATTAGGTTTTAATTGTTTTAATTTTGTTTTATTTTCTTGTTATCTTTCTCTGTGTTCCATAGAAGTCCATTGCAACCATAGAACCGGATTGGAAGGAAGCTTGTGGAAATGGCGGGTGGAGGATGTTCTTGGCGTTGGGGAAAAATGAAGAGAAGACGGAGGAGGCTGGAGGGGAAAGTACGTAACTAATTTTAATTATCGGATATCCATATATGATAAATGTCCTTTGTTCTCCTATATGCATATCGGTAAGTTCTTAATGTTATCATATATGCATACATGACACTGTAATAATATTATCAGATATACGTATTATTTATTTATTTTTATTTATAAAAATGAATATTTAGTAGCATATAGAGATATTCATGAATCGTATGAAAATGATTCAAGTTGGGTTTATATTTTATATTAATAATTTATATATTTGCTCAAGTTTTATTCAATATGAAATTTTAAGTTTTAAAATTTTCTCAAATTTGATCTAAATTAAAAAAATAAATTTCAAACTTATTCATTAAACTTAATTTATATAATAAAAATTAAAAAATGTGATTAAATTAAGTTTAATGAGATTATATTTAATTCTCATACATATAAAAATTAAAAATAAAAATTACATAAAAATATAAATTAAATTTAATAAAATATATATAATTTTTATTTTTAATAGTTATATATATGAATAAATTTATATATAATTTACATACATATATAAAAATAAAAAATTTATATATAAGTAGCTGCCTTGCACTATAAATCTTTTATTTAAAACTCAGCTCGAAATTTAAGAAAGCTTAAAAATTATACTCAAGCTTATTTAATGAGATTTAATTTTTTTGTTCATATCGTTTTAAAACTCGAACGAACCTTCAAGTTTGAATAGGTAACTTGACTCTTGAACGGGTATAGTAATGAATTAGTGTATAAAAGATTAAAAAATAATTTATGAAAAATTAATTATATAATTTTATATAAAAATACTTTCAAATAAAAATATTAGGTGTACTTAGAAAAATAGAAGTGCAAATAAAGGACTTTGATAAATATTTTACGAAAGAAATAATTGTATAAAACAATTATTTTGTATTACTATATATCTTTTTCATTTAAATCATGTCATATAATCATATTAATAAAAAATATTATTTATTTATTGCACATTATATGTCATAATTAAATGATGAATATTAATTTTAATAAACTCATGCATGTAATTTATATTAAATGATTGATTTTTTTTTATTAATATGATTATGTGATATGAATTGAATGAAAGAGATACATATTGATGTGGAAAAACTATTTCATGCAATAATTTCTTTTAGAGAAAGGGGAGTTTTGGGCACATGAACAGGTGTTTGACCTTCTTTTAGGATGGAACATGTGGATAAATACCCTAATTGACAAAAAAAAAAAAAAAAAAACAGAAAGAAAGAATTTGATAGACGTAAAACATGAATTAATTTTTGAATTTTTAAAATTTTTTTAGAAGCGACATAGGAATTGAATTTTGAAGACTTGAATTAAAAATTTAACATTTTATCAATAAATTACATAATTGTTAATCTGAAATTTCATATTTGGGAACAGATCTTATACTCCTAAATTGATTGGCAATTTTACCAAAATTTTATAGATCTTTTAGTAAAAAAAAATCTCAACACTATTTACATTTACATGGATGAATAATATGAAGAATTATAGTGAAAGTTTAGGTTTATTTAGTGATATAATAAATCTTGTATTTTATTGATTGAAAATTTTAAACTTTATAAATGATTTATTCATTAATCTATATTATTTATATAATTTCTGACTAAATTAGTGTCAAGAATTTAAGTGACACCTTCATACACTTTAGGCAGGATTGCGTAATAACCCTTCATACACTTGGAGGAGTATATGCTCAGCCCGTGAGTAGTTAGAAAAAGGGGTAAGGTGGAGGACAGGGGATGGAGGAAGAACCAGAATTTGGAAAGATAAGTGGACACCGTCAGCAAGCTCCTTCTTCGTCCAGTCACCGAGATCAAGGCTAGGGGCAGACAGCTTGGTGAGGGAGCTCATAGATACTTCAAGGAAATGCTGGAATAAAGAGCTAATCAACCAAATCTTCTTGGCTGATGAAGCAAAAATTATATGCTCCATTCCAATAACAAGAACGGGAACGACAGATCGGCTAGTGTGGCACTATGACAACAAAGGCCAATATACAGTTAAGAGTGGCTACAAGGTATTGTTATACGAAAGAAACAATGACCTTAGCCCAGGTACGACGATAAAGACAACAAAAAGATGTGGAATGTTTTATGGGCAGTAAACATCCCAAGTAAAATAAAAGCATTAATGTGGCGAGTATATCATGGATTCCTCCCTGTTATGGTAAACTTACGTAGGAGGAGGTTAGAGGTGAACGGGACATGTTTTATATGTGGATCTTCGGACGAAACTGTTTTGCACACTATTAGAACATGCTCGCTTCCAAGCCAAGGATGCCCTACGCATGGATCAAACAAGCCAGAGGTCAGAGGAGGATAACGCAGCATGGGTTGAAAACATTTGTATGTCAGGAGATAAAGAAGTGGTACCAATCTGCATGATCATACCATGGGCGATATGGACTGAGAGAAGCAATGTTCTACACGGAGGAAAAAAGAGAAGCACGCAGGAACTGCTAACTTTATTCAGAAATATACAGAGGAAGTGAAAGCAACGCAGAGTACGAGCGTAGCCTCCCAGTCCCCACAATTGTGATGGAAACCTCCCATGAACAACACAGCCAAGGTTAATTTCGACGGGGCTTTTAACCGACAATTACAGAAGGGCGGGGCTGGTGTAGTGATTCGAGACAACATGGGATTAGTGTTACTTGCAGCTGCTGTCCCAATAGATGATGTAGGAGGACCGTTTCACGCTGAAGCCGAGGCAGCTTGCAGAGCGCTGGATTTTGCAGTAGAAATGGGGTTCACAAAAATCTCTTTTGAAGGGGATGCTCTGAGGAGGCTGGTTTGTCACCAGTGGGGACCATCATAGACGATGCAAAGGAGAAAATGAAGAAGTTCTAGGTCTGTCAAGTACTTCACAGTCCAAGAAAATGTAATCAGGTAGCACATTTACTGGCAAAAAATCGGCTAGAAGCTTTAGTTAGCAAGTTTTGGTTAGAAGAATACCCTGATTTCCTCTCTAAAGCTGTATTAAACGATTGTAATGCATGTTATGAATGAAAGAATCGCATCTTCATAAAAAAAAAAAAAAGTGACACCAGTTCAGTTGATGAATTATAAAACAGTTTTTTTTGTCACACCAAGTTCATTCAACCTCATTGATTTATGCATAATATTTGACCCATGTCATATTGAACACTTTAAACAATGTCTAATTCTAATGTATAACACTTGGGGGTAAAAAGATTAAAAAAAAAAAAACGAAAAATAAAGGTAAATTGTCAAGGCTAAGGTCATATAAACTTAGATCAAATGTTAAAAAACGTGAATTGAGACGCCAATTAGGTCTTGACTCAGTGACAATAAAGAGGTTTTAGAATCTCAAAATTTTAGATTTAAATTTCATTATGTATTGGTTTGATTGTTTAGTTAAGTTTTAATTTAATGATAT